GTTTTTGATTGAAATTGCTTCTTTGAATAATAAAAAAATGACCTCCAGACTATTCAATGGGCCTCATGCAAGAACCGTTCGTACACAGATTTGTTCTGAAGTTGTGCGTACGAGTGATTTAGGAGAATTTGTGGCATTCACCATTTTTCTCCTATTGTAAGATTTTCCTCAGGAACAAAATTCACGAGTGGTCCAGACCTGTTGCATATTTTATGGTCAGTCTACTGTTATCCAGATGGATTTTTCTCAATAACTTTATTTTTCATAAATTTGAAGATATTTTGAGTTGAAAATAAATTACACTCCATAATTATGTTGAAAATCGGTTATTCTGTTTGAATTAAAATTATCATTTTAAATGTAATAATGTAGACTAACGACATAAACTAATTAAATTAAATTGCATTGGCTATCAATGCTGTTGTATAACATTACAATATTAATATGAAGTCAGTTGAAGTTTGGAGACATTTTAAAATGCTTTTTTTCCCCCCAGAAACTCATCTTGACACTTGCGGGGTGGCGGTGCGCGACTGCTCTTCCTCTGAATAAATGAAAAAGGCTAACATGTGTTTACACTTGAATTAAAAATATTTGACCAAAGAAAAACCAGAGCAGGACTAGAGAGAGATAAATAGGATTTAGATTTTTTATTTCTGTGACTGTAAACAATCCACATGGAGACACGACATTAACAGCACATTTCATTCCTTTAAGCAGCTCCTTTAATTCCACAGCTGACCTGCTAAAAATGACAGATTTTATTTTCTCGATCTCGGAGAGCAGGACTTCAGTCTCTGAACTTGTAAAGTTCTTTTTACTTTTCACTGTCATTTTCATGAATGGACACTTCCTGATATCGGAGGCAGGAAACATAGCCTTATATGGTGTTTTTGGGGTGGTAATTATGCTAATCTCCTCTCTGCGTGCACGAGCAGCTGGATACGAACAGGTGGAATTTACGCAGCTCATTTAAACACTTTTCCTGAAGACAGAAGAGTTTGTTGAATCTGATGTGACATGTTTGTACGAACAAAAGTAAGAGAAATTTAGGATAAGAATATGAACGTGTTCTTGCATGAGGCCCGTTGAATCTACATCTGATTCAAGATGGCCGCCAAAGCAGCAAAATCATAGCAAAAATGGAAGTAATTCAGTTTTACTGGTGAAATTTGGAGCCCTGCAGTGAGTCTGTCTGTTAGCAAAATATCTCAAACTAATTGAAAGAAAAATTCTAAAATGAAGAATTGACTTTTGGTGATGCAACCAATTAAAATGGCTGCAAAAGAAAATCTTTCATAAAAAATTACAGTTAGCTAAAGTCCAGGGGCGCCAGCAGGGGAGGGGGGGCATGGCCCCCTGCCCCCGAAAAAATTTCTGCAGGCGCCACTGCTAAAGTTGGGGATTGGTAGTAGCTGAGGGTCATGTAATCTGACCTAAAACGTCCTCACATGTTGCATGAGAACGTGCACAAATAAAAATGCATCAAATGAAGCGGAACAAAAGTTTCTCTGGTTTGTGACAGAGGGTCTGCACACGCTGACGTTTGTCCTCGTTTCATTTCTGCCTCTTCTGACTTGAACCATATTGATTTCTCCTCCTGATTGTCACTAATTACATTCGACATCAATTAGTTGGCCTTAATGAGAAGCATCCCTTACATTCTCACACTGCAGAGGATGCCTGCAGAGGGGCCGAGGACTTCTGCCGGGGGGAGAAAACATAAATAAAGCCAGAAAAGAGCAGATAAAACAGGGGGAAGAGGCTGACGAGCTTTTGAAAGAGGAAAATGGCGACAAAGGAGGCGTGTAGATCGAGACGGAGGGGTGAAGAAGAAAGGCAGGCGAGAAACAAAAGGGGGGCAAACATTGTTTGTACCCGGTTTGTGTGGGGGGCCTTCTGTCCTGCTGCAGCGCCGAGTCACAATAGCTGCTCGGACACACTCGAGGACGTGAGCGGGTCCAAAAAACCTCCTGCCTTTCTGTGCTGTGACCCCCATGAACCACCCTCTAACTCCATCAGGCCACTTTCCCAGCCTCTCCTCTGCTTCACGAGGCTTCAATCACTTTTCTTCTGCAGGGGTCAGAGGTCAGCAGCAGGCTGGACACCCGGGCCTTTAGACCAGACTGAAATTTATTCAAGGGTGGGACCCTCACCCAACAAATCTGCCCCTCTTTACTCTGCAGCCAGGAGAAGCTGCGGCATGGGGGGTCCACACACACACACACACACACACACACACACACACACACA